GGAAATGAGTCAATACACCCCATGAATGTTGAAACCCAGACTTTCTCTTTGGAGGAAAAAAGGGGGTGCGACAGCATGGCGACTCTGCTGGGGATATTGTTTTAGGATCTTACCATAACGAACTTGTCTTTTACAAATTAGTCCAACCATGCTTATCCCGTACCCTGCTCTTTTATCTGAATTTAACTGTCTATTTTTTAAGCACTTATGATTTCTTTATTACCCTGAAAATTGACTTGTCTCCTTATTTTACTTTTTATGTAACTATCTTTTCAATTATTTAAATGTTGTATTTATTTTTTCCTACGTGAAAATACTTGCCTATATGTTATTAACTGCTGCATAAATCATGCTCCACATCATATGCCACTCGTGCGTATCAAATCCTATAGCAACGCTTTAATGAGTGGTTGCGTTCTTCCCATTTACTACCCTTAAATTCGGAAAGACTTATTTGCAATAAAACCAGTCGATCAGCGGTGCAGTCGACGGTTCCGTGCCTTCCCACTCAAGTTGTCCACTTGAGGGTACCAGTCTAAAACCCCATAGAAACCTTACTCTATTTAAATTGTGCATGCATCATGGTCAAACCTAGTCGGATCAATTATGTTGTCCACATAATGATCCTTTAAGATAAGCCTTATCCAAAGTCCATCGAGTTTTCCATAATCCCAACGGACGCAACCACATTCTGTTCCTTAATTTGGAGAACTAAATGCCAATATGCTGATCATAAATGTATAAATAGTTGAGTCTGGTAGGGGTAAGGCCTAACCCTTTTGTTTTGCAGAAAATGAGGCACGAGGTACTCAGATTTGGTATGGTTAGCAATATCCCTCCATTGTTGCTTGATTGGTGGGAAGATCTTTCCTCAAGTGACAAGAAACATGTGAAAAAGTACCTGGGTAAATTGCCTTCCCTGCTAGATAGTGAACCAAACAACAAATTGATCGAGGCTGCTACCTTATTCTGGGATAGTGAAAGAGTTATGTTCCGTTTCGGTGACATAGAGATGACACCGCTTCTAGAAGAAATAGGAGGACTTGCAGGGTTGATTTAGGACAGTCCTGGGCTTTTGGTGCCAGAAAACCGTACGGGCAGGGGATTTTTGAAGTTGATGGGGCTGAAAAAGAATGTCGACCTAGTGTGCTTGAAGGATTCCTACATACCTTTCGAATATCTGTCCGAGAGGTATGGCCATAGCAAGTCTTTCCACACTTACCATGATGAGATCGCCCTCACTTCACTAGGTCACATCCACCGTAGAGTGTTCGTGTTCATTGTGTGCTTCCTAGGGCTAATAGTGTTCCCAATGAAGAAATGAAGAATCCACACTAGGTTGGCCATGGTCGCCAAAACTGTGATGGAGGGGATTAACGGACAGACATATACCATAGTCACCATGATCATAGCTGATATCTACAGGGCCCTGGAACACGTTCAAAGAGGGGTCCAGCATTTAGAGGGCTACAACTTATTGCTGCAGTTATGGTTATTGGAACATCTCCAAAAAGGTGGCTATCGCCAAGAATTTCCACGAAGGGCTTGGAACGACCACATTACTTTCCATCACCCTAAGAGGATGACCTACATTCCGGACAGATTTGCTCAGCCAAAAGTGCCAGTGAATGGGTAGAGTTCTTCGATAATCTGATCGAGGAACAGGTGCAGTGGATTGTTGAACGGTTTCCAATAGACGAGTTTATTATCAGGTCCAGGGATGCTCCGCATTTAGTGTTGATCGGGTTGAGCAGGATATATCCATATGTCCCTATGCGAGTTATGAGGTAAGCGAGCAGAAAACAGGTTGTACCAAGGGTCGTCAAGATGAGTCACTTCAGGTTGGATTTCCAAGATGATGACATACCTTACAAGGGCCAAGCCCAGCACATGTGGCACTACAAAATCATTGTGGAGAAAAGCACTGTTGAGCCAGACAGATATCACGTTGGATGCGAGCCTCTCTACCCTACATGGTTGGAGGACAATTTGAAAGGAACAGTGACACCGGGGATTGTCGAGGGAACAGAATCATAGACGAGGAAGCTGAAGCCCAAGTCAAATACAACAGGCTGCGCAAAAGGGTCCACGACTCTGAGAACGAGCATCGGGAGATACATGAGAGGAACGTGAAGTTGATTGAGGAATGGAAAGAGATAGCAGTCATTTCTAACAGAAAACTGGAATACCTGGAGCGAGGAATAGTGGAGCTGGAGGGCAAAGTCATAAAAAGGATTGAAAACTGTCAGAAACTGAAGGAACCAAGGGAGGACATCTGGCCCGAGACTATTTGCTGCTGGGACTGCGCGAGCTGGGAGATCTATTCGATGGAGTCCGAAAGATTGAATCTGGGGAAGGTCCTTCTACGACCAAATAGATTAGATTTACTTGCTTTTCTCAAAATGTAATAAGGCCAAGTGCTAGTAGTGACTTGTTTTATTATTGTGTTAGTATTGTTTTTGGATTCGTCTACTTTTATGTTATAAAATGAAGCATTCATTGGCATTTGAAGTTCTCCAAATTTATTTTTCGCTAGGCCTACTTCGGACACAATGAGGCTCCCAAATTAGGATATGAGTTTATATTTTGCAATATGTGTTTAAATACTGCATACATTTCAGGATCCTCACTAACTTGTTACCTTTTTTTGTCTTGTTTATTTTTATTATTCCCATCCCCATAGGTTGGTTCATCCATACTGGCCTCGTCAGCATATCACATCAGATCTAGAGGCCCTCCACCTCCTCCTCCAAGTAACACAAAAAGTAGAGGGAAGTCAAAGATAGACGACTTAAGTGGGATCCAAAAGGAAAATATTGAGAATGCAGAGACCTCCGATGGCCGTAGTACTCCGGCCCCGATTGACCTGCTTTTGAGACTTGAACAAAAGATACTAGAACTGCAAGGAGAACTTGAGCAGGTTCACAATTTGGCAAACTTGTCACTTACCCTCAATGCCCCTGATATCCACCAACAGAACGCAAAGAACCCAACACCTCCTAAAACACACAAAACCAACAACCGCAAAATCCTACCATACCAAACCAATACGCAACTCCACCACAAAATATCAATCCATTACCAGTACCAACTCCATCACAACATCATTATCAACCAATCCTGTACCCACCAACCACCACTTACCACACTCCTCAAAATACACCACCACTCATTCCCGATCCACAAAATTCCACCAATGACCATCACTATACCCAAGTTCCTAGCACCCATTAGAGCAACCCCATATATGTGGAAACTATACCACATTCTACCCAACCAATTTCCTATGCATCGGAATCCTCTAAAAAGGACCTACTCATTAAGAACATGGCCAAAGAACTCAAGAAATTAACAAGCCGAGTTCAAGGTGTTAAAGGCGGTAGAGGAATAGAAGTTTTGAACTATGAAGATCTATGCATACAGCCCGATGTGGAACTTCCAGAGGGGTACAAACCTCCCATGTTCAAAATATTCGATGGTACAGGTGATCCCAGGGTTCACCTGAGGACTTACTGTGATAAACTAGTCGGGGTTGGAAAAGATGAAAAGATTCGAATGAAGCTCTTTATGAGGAGCCTTACTGGGACGCATTGTCTTGGTATATCAACCAGAATCCCAAGAAATGGTCAAATTGGGTAAGCAGGCTCAGATTTCATGGACCGGTTCAGGTTCAACATAGAAAATGCACTTGATGTCTTCTACATTCAGAACCTCAAGAAGAAACTTACTGAGACATTCCGCGAGTATGCTATTCATTGGAGGTCGGAAGCCGCCAAGGTCAGGCCCGCTTTGGATGAAGAACAGATGAATAAATTCTTCATTAGAGCACAAGATCCATAATATTATGAGAGACTGATGGTCATCAAAAATCACAAATTCTCTGATATCATCAAGCTCGGGGAAAGGATCGAGGAAGGAATCAAGAGCGGGATGGTAACAAATTTCAAAGCACTGCAAGCCACGAATAAAGCATTCCAATTAGGGGGCATATCGAAGAAAAAAGATGTTGGGGCAGTAATGGTGGCCCAGGGCCCAAAAACTCCACTCACATATCAAACACCTCCACCCACCTATCAAACACATCCACCCACCTATCAAACACCTCCAACCACATATCAAACACATTCGCCCACATATCAGGCATCACCACCTACATACCAACCTTCATTCCCCAGATATTCCCAACCAGCCACTGTCCATCACGCCTATAATTCCCAACCATCCCACTTCCAGTTACCACCAACTCGCCAAAATTATCCAAGACCAAGATCCAATTTCGATCGCACGCTACCCAAACAATACACCGTCAATGCTGAGCCCATCGACCAGTTGTATGAAAGGTTAAAAGTTGCAGGTTACGTCTCTCCTATTCCCGCTGTGGCGCTAGAAAATCCATCCCAATGGGTCAATCCGAACAAAACATGTGCATACCACTCCAGTATGAAAGGGCACACCATTGTTGAGTGTCGAACACTGAAGGACAAGATCCAGACGCCAATTGACAACAAAGTCATTGTAGACATGTGATTTTTGACCCTCCCCAAGATTTCACCCATTTTAGCGTAAAATATTTAGTTTAGGCCTAATATCGATATTTCAATTAGTTTTAACTCTTTTACTTTATTTTATCAAAAAATAAAAATTACAAAAATATTTCTTCTTTTTAGTTGTTGTTAGTTTATATACCTTTCGTAAAACTAAAAAATACAAAAGGTAGTACCTTATTTTTTTTATACGATATATGAAAATACCAAAAAAAAGGTTTATTTTAATGATTAGTCTTTTTTTAATAGTTATTTTACTTAAGTAGGATTAATTGGTAAATGAGGTTGTATTTTTAGTCTTTTTCACGGAGAAAGAATAAAATTTGGGCTCATACAATCCATTTTTAAGCCTAATTTTCGGACCTAGCCCATAATTCCTAGGCCACCCCTTAACCTAAAAATAAAACCTACAAAAACTAACCTAGACCCCTAAGAGATAAAATCCGTTGTTTCTGACCTTGAGAGACCCCCTCCCTAACGTCTTCTTCTCCTTCACAAGAAGAGGGGATCGATACACAAAACAAAAACCTAAAGCCATAAGCAGAGAACAAGAACCAGGGGACCTTCAGCCGTTTCCCTCATCTGATTTTGCTTCTTCTTCACTCTGAATACACACACACACAAAAACCAACGAAGACCTAGATCCCTTAGAGCTAGGCTTTTCAACGACAAAACACCAAAAGGACCCCCAGCCAGATCTCGATCTTCTTCAACCAAACCAACGACCCCTGCTCTCTTCAAATGCACAAACAACCACTCACTTTACTTCACCAACCCTTTCCATCGTTGCTCCTTCGGCTTCAAAGTTTCAGAAAATTGGAGAGGAAAATTAGGCAAGTGAAGAGTCGAATTTCAGTGTCATTTTTTTATTTTGTTTCGTAAATGAGGTCGAGATGAGGTTTGAAGTCGTTGATGCCCGAGGTTTGCCGATCGAGCTCCAGGTCCCTCTCTTTCTCTTGATGTTAATTGAAGTATGATGGTGGACTGAATTTGGTATGTCAATATTGAGATTCACCCACCTGTGTTTGTTTTCGGTTCCTACATGTGAATTGAGTTCTGAAATTTTCCGTTCTGCAATTTGATATGAATTTGTCTAGTTTCTTATTCTATTCTCCTCTCTACTGACTTATGATCATATCTGAGAGCCTTTTTGAGTTGTTAATCTCATATTTGGTATTATATGGACATAATTTTGGTGAAGAATCAAGATAAAAAGAAGTAAGAACATAGTCGAACTAAAAATAGTACGAAAATTGAAGTGATTCTAAACACTTCTAACCTTTTCAATGATGTAAGTACTTGATTTGCTATTGAGTTTGCTCTTTGCAACGGTGCCTCTGCCAATATATTTGTTGACATATTAGAAGCATCAAGGACGAAGAAAACTAGTTGCAGACCCAACAATCTGTCTTGTTTGCATCATAACTTTTAAAATCATTCATAATCTCGCCATACCATGCTTAGTCATTTGTGGTGAATATTTTGTTTGAACGTTTCATTGCCTTAAAATGAATGTTGGGAATTGATTCGATTGAGCTTTCAGTGCAAGAATTAATGTGTATATAATTTTCTTTAAGAGTTAAATTGTATAGTGCTTTAGGTGGATTATGTAGAGTGCCTACTGTTTCTTGTTTGGTTTCTTAAAATTGAAATGAGGAGCTAGGTTATTCGAGAAATGTCATATGGCCCTTATCATCTTTAATCCATCTTTCTTTATCTTTTCCTTTCCCATCTTATGTTATTTGGTTTCTTTATCTAATTATTTATTTTATAATATTAGATGTCTCTTGGATATTTACTTGTCAAATACGTTAATTTCTTTAATTTGTGTGAATTAAATCGTTTGCAGCATGCCGAGGGGGTTTGGGATTTAAACATGAAAAGAGACTAAGCATGATATGGTTATTGTCTTTATTTTAGTTTATTTTATTTTTGCTTTTCCCATTTTGAGCGTTAGAAGCGTAATTGTTATTTTCCAAAATTAAAACCGAAGTATCCGTTCACGCAACTTTGGACGAAATAATCTTCATAAAAATAAGTGCTATTAATTGTGTACACGTTCGCGTGACACGAGTACGATTTAAAAAATGAATATTCGTAGAAATGCTTTAGGCGCATTTAATGTATCGTCGTGATTGTGGACACATTCGCATGACATAATTACGATTTTAAAAATGGAATCGGAGTATGCGTTCGCGCAACTTTGACTAAACTTTCTTAATAATGATAAAGCATTATTAATTGTGGACACTTTCGCGTGACATGATTTTTGACGTGCCAAACAAATGGGTACACGTACGTGTGACCTGTTTTTTAAGATAATTTCTTAATTAAAAGAGGCAAATGCACATTGGTTCTAAAATGAGTAATTAGATGATTTATTAAGACAAGTATGATTAAAGCGACCATGCTAGAACCACGGAACCCGAAAATGCCAAACACCTTCTTCCAGGTTAACAGAATTCCTTACCCGGATTTCTGTGTTCGCAGACCATAAGATAAGAGTCAACCTTCCTCGATTCGAGATTTAAACCGGTGACTTGGGACACCATAAATCATCCCAAGTGGAGACTCTGATTTCTAAATAAAATAATCCCATTTCGATTGTCACTTAAATTGAAAAACTCCGTTATATTCCTTTCCGAGTTAGTAAAAAGGAGGTGTGACAGCTCTGGAGACTCTGCTGGGGATAAGAACCCAGAACTTCTGGTTCAGGGTTCAAGACTTCGAGCTTGTTTTTATGATTTTTACTTGGCTTTATTTATTGATCATAATATCGTATTTGTGGACCTAATGTGCTAAATGCTGTTTATTTACCTCTTTCATAGTATTAAATTGTCTCCCTACGCCTCATTTCTAAGAATTAAAATAAAAACGGTGCACATGTTCACGTGACCCACTTTTCTGTTAAAAGTTACACCAAATAGAACGAGATTGCGCCAGCAACAAGGCCGGGTAGACTTTCGTGCTTTCGGTACATTGCCCCCTCTTCGACTTGAGTTGTCCGCTCGGATAAGCTAGGTCAAGAACACAAACCCAGGTTTAAACATAGAATAACATAACCTCATGCCGGATCCCTAGTAGGAACGTTTATTTGCATCATGTGCATTTAACTCTGGGGACTCAACACAGGGGTTGAGTCCGTCTAGGACAGGTGTATCCAAAAATTAAAGACCATCCTGATGCATCCTATGTGCTACATGTTGTATTCTTCAAGGGTAAAACGATCATTTGACGGACAAATAATAGTTGCGGGCAAATAATAAAAGACAAAAAAAAAGAAAAAAAGGATGAAGTGTGAAAATAAAGCAAGTAGGGCCCAATTATGTTTTCTTTCACATTTTGTTAAGAAAAAAACAAAAAGAACATGAAAAATTCAAAAAAAAGATTTTGCACTTTTTCATCCGTTTTAGAAAATCAAAAAATAAAAAAGGGAAAAGAAAATCCAAAAAGAGTTTACATGTTTCATCCTTTTTCAAAAAAAAGACAAAAAATATATTTTTTCTAAATTAGTTGTTTTTTTAATTCTCGCCCGTATCCAATCTGCCCGAACTACGCGAACCTGATTCCCGTCTCTCGGGGCGGGATACATAAGCAACCCACATAGGGTCCGGTCTTCTTAGTAAGTCTTAGGTTCTTGGCTTCGCAGGGTCTTAGCCAAATCTTACATTTTTAGCAACTTTTAGCCACATAAGTTAATTTTAGAAAAATAGTCACAATCATGTCTTGCATATGTTCAACAAGAAGGGTTATTGTCTCACATAGTGTTCTAGGTCTTTAACTTTATTTTGTCTTAATTTTCTCATACAGGTGTGGGTTTACTTACCGGAGTTTGAGCATGACAGACGCCCCAGGACCATCCAGTCAGGATCACTTATTTAGGAGTTTGCTTGAGGAGATTTTCTTTATGTTTTTAGTCTGTTGTTCATTTTTATATCATCTTTTACCTTCTAGTTTTGTATAGTAATGTCGAGTCTTTTAGGTGATATTAGAGTTTGTCATAGTCTAGTTAAGTTTACCGAGTCTTTTGTTATTGTATTTCTTATTTTGTATTTGGAAATGTGTTATAGGTAAAAAATCCAAAAGAAAAATAATAAAAAAGAAATTTTGCGTTTTTATATTTCCATTAGAAGTTTTCTTAAGAATACTAATTTTAGGAATTAAAAAAAAATTCATTTGAGGTGATTTTTCCTTTAGGCAATTAATAGATAGAATTTAAAATAAAAATTATTTTATATTTTCTTTAGTATATTAGGACTAAAATTCAAATAAAAAGAGAGAATTTTCTTTTAGTACCTCTTTAAAAGTTTTCTTTAAGATATTAATTCCGAAAATCCAAAAAGATTTTCTTTTAAGGTTCTTCTTTGGGAAATTAATGAAAAATGAATAGAAAAAAAATTCTTTTTATTTTACTAGAACTTTAGGACATTGTACATAGAAGAAAAAAAAATAACTTACTTTATCTTTGGTTTATCTTCAGAGTTTCTCCCTTAGGTAATCAAAACTGATATCCAAAAGCATTTTTTATCTTTTTCATTTCTTTGGTCGAAATCTTTCTTTCAGGATATCAAACGAAAATTCAAAATATTTTTTTTTGATTCATCCTTTATATTTCCTTCCAAAAAAAAATCAAAAAATATTTTTCTCTTCTAGGGGGTTTTCCTTAATAATTTCTCATCAGAGTATTCATTAAGGTAAAAAAACAAGAAAAATAAAATTGAGAACGTTAGTTTGTTTACTTTATTCCCGATCTTCCCGAACGACGCAAAAATCTAATTCATGTGGCGTCATGATACGTAGGCAACCTACATAGGGGTCGATCGAATCATTTTTTTCTATTAAAAGAAAAGGAAAAAAATGAAAAGAAAAGAGATGAAATTATGGGATGTGAGAAATGAGAGAAAGAAAAGAGTGATGATTAAAAAAAAGAAGAGGAAGGAAAATGAGCAAGCCAAGAAGTGTTATAAAAGAAAAGAGAAGAGTCAAATGGACAAATTGGGAGGATGCCAAGTGACTTTGTGACCCTCGAAGTCATTCTTGAACTGTTAATTGTTGCTAGGTGCATTGCACGTAATGTGATATTTTTAGCTATTAAATGCCCTAATCTAACATGATGACTTCATTTTGTTCCTCTTTATTATCCTCATTATAGCAGAAGGGTGGTTGGTTTGTGGTTCTTAAACTGGTAACTCTTCCATACAACACAAGGTCAAAGAGCAAGGTAGTCATGGCTAGCAAAAACTTGGACACATGGGTTATTGATCCGTTTAAGGGAATTGTTGAATCAGAATCTGAGTTGAAAGGGGAGGTCCAAATGTTGAAACAACAGATGGCAGAAATGTATCAGTCTTGGATCAGGGGGCATCCTCCACCTTTATTCCCTGCTAACTACACTGAAAACCCTGCAACTATCCCACCACTATCACAAATCCAGATTCCCACTGCTGCTGATATCTCCCCATGACCTTTTCACATTCTACCCGCCAAAACCACCTCATATCCCGCTCCTTTGGTTACTCATGCTCTTGTAGCTCCTCCTCCAACTACTTTTCATTGATCCTCTAATGAGACTGTGTTCAAAATCTCTGATGCCTAACACTATGCTCCAGAACCCACTTTCAAGGTCTCAGATCCATACTCTCACGCTCATCATTTTGAGCCTCCCGATGAAACTGAAAAGCCTGCTAAGATAGTGGAGCAAGATGAGATATCCAGGAAGGTGAAACTCTTAGAGCAGTCTTTAAGAAACATGCAAGGGATAGGGAGCCAGATGAGCGTGGCTTACAAGGACTTGTGCTTGTTTCCTGACATCCAATTGCCTGTTGGGTTTAAGATGCCGAAATTTGATTTGTATGATGAACATGGAGATTCGGTGGCCTATCTGAGAGGCTACTACAGTAAGATGAGAGGCGCTGATGGGGAGGACAAATTATTGATGGCGTATTTCAGTCAAAGTCTGAGTGGTTCAGCTCTGGAGTGTTACACCCGCCAAGACTCTAGCAGGTGGTACACATGGGACGATATGGCTCAGGCCTTTGCTCGGCACTTTTAGTACAATATAAAAATTGTCCCGGATCGCATGTATCACCAAGATGGAAAAGAAGCCTAATGAAAGCTTTAGGGAATACGGGCTCAGATGGAGAGAGCAAACTGTTAGAGTTAATCCCCCGATGGAAGAAAACGAGATGGTCGAGTACTTTCTTCAAGCTCAAGAGCCAACTTACTTTGGGCATTTGATCTTGGCTGTGGGTAAACCTTTTAATAATGTGGTAAAAATGGGAGAAATGGTAGAAGATGGGTTGAAGTCTAGAAAGATCATGAGTTATTCTGCTTTAAAACCCACAAATGACATAGGAAGCTTGCTGGGTCAGAAGGAACATGATGATGTTGCCATGGTTGTCTCAGGATCAGGACATGGTTCAACAGGTCCGCCTCACCAATATACTCAGCCTCAACCCCAACCCCAAACCTATCCCCGAACTCCACATAATCCACCTTAGTATTATCCTCCGAACAATGTCCGGTCATCTGTCCAACCACCGGGTCACTCCTTATGGCGAGAGCCAACACCGCATAATGCACTCTTGCCTTCAAAACATATTTGAGCACCCAACAACCCTAGAAAATAGGGGCAGGGAGGGGAACAAAGGTAAAGAAATAATTTCACGCCAATCGGGGAGTCCAACACAAGTTTATTTGAAAAGTTAAAACATTCTGGCCTGATTGAGCCGCTCCTCAGCTATACTCCAGACCCATATACAAAAGGTTTTGATCCTACTGTACGATGCATGTACCACTCTAACGTCCTAGGGCATAGCATTGAAGATTGTCGTGCTTTGAAAAGGGAAATATAAAGAATGATTCAAGAGGGGTAATTTTGATCAAGGACAGTGACAGGGAGCATGCAAATCCTTTTGGGAACTTGCTGATTGAAGTTAATGATATTGAAGCTGGTAATGGTCTTCGCAATATTTATGTGGAACCCGGTGGCTAAGATGTCGTGCTTGGTAATTGGAAAGACGCTCCATTTCTTGGTTAGCCGGGAGGAGTGTTGGTGGTTTATTTTGTTGTCATTTCTGTTGTCCGGGTTATTTTCAGGGTTGTAATCCGGATATTGTCTTGTGACTCAAACCCTTCTATCCTTTTAATTTTCCTAGTATGTTTAGTCGCAGTAGCTCATTTAGTGTTGTCTGGTTTTTTTCCAGGGCTGTAACCCTAGTTTAGTTTGCTTGTTTCGTTGTTCAAACCCTTTCACCGTCTGTCTAATGCAGTTTTCTGTTTTTTGTTATTTCTAGTCCTTTTTTGCTTAGTTCTCTTTTCCTTTTATAGTTCTTTTCTTGATGACTCTAGTGACATGATATGCACGCATAATTCTCAGCCTGGTCTTAAAAGTTAGTTTAGTCATGAAGCAATGAAACAGTTTTGAAGATGATAGGGACATTTGAGGGAAATAAATAAAGGCATTATGAGATCACTTCAAGCCCGAATTGTGTCAAACCGGGGTAGATAGAACATAAACAAACACTATTGAAATGTGTCCTGCTGCATCAGGTTGAAGCTAAAATAAAGTTTGCCCCAAATTGGCAGGGACCGTTCGTGGTAACGAGAGCATTGTCCAATGGTGCTTTGTATTTAACAGATATAGAAGACAAATGTATGGATATATTTATCAATTCTTATGCAGTCAAAAGATATTATGTATGATTTCTTTGGTTTGTTTAATTGTGGTGTTTGTATGTGGCATGCTTTGAAGATTGGAATGACGAATGCATTTTATTGTTCTATCTAAACACTTCATCCTTTGTTACCCCTTTGAGCCTTATTTATTTTCTTTCATATCCCTCTTTTGGAATCAGAAGTATAGTTTAGAAATATGATACATAATTAAAAAAAAAAGAGAGAGAAAAGAGGAAAAAAGAAGAGAAAAAGAGAAAGAAAAAATGGAAAAAGAGTAAAGAAAAGAAAATAAAAGAAAAGAAAAGAGAAAAAAGGAGAGAAAAGTACAAAAACAAAGCAATGCCTATGACATGAACTACCTTCGACCTGATTCCTTTTAAGGATACGTAGGCAGCCTCACAATTCGGTCCCATCAAAATAAAATTTCAAAAGTCCCCAAGCAAAGAAACTGGGGCAGAAGTTGTGGTTGTTGTAAGAGATCTGATTCCAAAAGTTGTAATTTTGAGCCCTTTTACGCTATTTTTGAGCCTTTGTGATACCCTTTGTTTCTAATCCTATCCAAAAGCCTACATTATGGTCCAAAGAAAGACCTCCCGATCAATCTTTGAGTAGTGCCAAGTCAAGCAAGTTAGAGGTATGATTCTCATTACGGGCAACACTCCGTTCTACACAAGGAAAACAAAAAATAAGAGAGTCTTATCGGTGAAAACCTTACAGGCACCATAAGGCGACAGTAAGTTGAGAGAAAGAACAAAATGAGAGAGGCTTGATGGTAAAAACCCTTCGGGAACTACAAGTCGAATAAGGATTGTGAATCAGATAGGATAATCGGAGCATTGAAGCCCAGCTTCATGGCGAAGAGGCACAACAAGAGTTTAGCATTAGACTTGCTTGACAGATTAGGCCACTTAATCCAAAAGTGCATATCATGGTCATTAGAGTTGGTATCCACATCTGATAAATTTCTACTTTGTAATTTCGTTGATAGGTATCATCTTTTTCCATTGTCCTTTACTCTGTTCCTTTTGTTTTGTTTACTCCCTCTTCTTGAGTCTGTTTGGTAAGAACAAGTGAGAAATGACTTCAAAATCTGCTACTAGCTTTCTAATTGCACAAAGCGGAGTCTGGCTAGCACATCAAAGAGACATAAGTCAGGAAAGAATAATGTACGCACTAAATGAATAACAATAGGCGTGGTTTGGGATTCATGAGAAATGCAATGGTTCGGTGAATGTCAATTCATGTGCAAAATGCAACAGATAGAAGGTATTGAGTTTGAATGAATCAGAGGTATTTTCTGTGATAAGGGTGACCGAGAAAGTGGTTAGTCAATAAATAAGCAATGTCTTTCAATTTGAAATCAAAGTTATCATGGCAAGTGAAGGAGCAA